TAGTGAAAAAAAGGAAAATATGGATAAATCGTGAAAATATGGAAAAATATTTGTTTCGAAGAAAAAGTGAAACACATTGAAACATTATTTGGGAAATAATGAAAAATGCATAGGTTTAGGGATTCCAAGTTCAGCTGATGATAGGATACTGCAAGCCCCCATAGATCATATAGTGAAACACAGGGGGGGGGGGGGGCTTCATCGGGCACTATCACTATCGGCATTCCGATGGAACCTATTGGGCCTCCTAGCCAATCCTAACTCATCCAAACCTCTCCTAAAATAGAACCACTTACCTAACCTATAGCTACTTATAACTCCGCGCCCAACAAAGCAGGGACGGCGAGGTCCCGCTCAGATCCGCGCAGTGCCTCACTCCGCAGGGCCCACCAGCAGCTCTCGAAAGTGGCGACAGTTTCGCAGATCGCAGCCCCCCTAGGGACGGCGAGGTCCCGCTCGGATCCACGCAGTGCTTCACTCCGCAGGACCCACCAGCAGCCCTCGAAAGTGGCGACAGTTGCGCAGATCGCAGCACCCCAGGGACGGCGACGTCCCGCTCAGATCTGCGCGGTGCCTCACTCCGCTGGACCCGCCAGCAGCCCTCGAGGGTGGCGACCGTTTCGCAGATCGCAGCCCCCCAGGCACGGCGAGGTCCCGTTCAGATCCGCGCGGTGCTTCACTCCGCAGGACCCACCCGCAGCCCTCGAACGCGGCGACAGTTTCGCAGATCGCAGCCCCCCAGGGACGGCGAGGTCCCGCTCAGATCTGCGCGGTGCCTCACCCCGCAGGACCCACCAGCAGCCCCCGCAAGTGGCGACAGTTTCGCAGATCGCAGCCCCCCCCCCCCCCCCCCCCAAGGCACGGCGAGGCCCCGCTGACGGCAGCGCGGTGCTTTTCGCTCCTCCCGCAGGACTCCCCCAGCAGCCCTCGAACGCGGCGACAGCTTCGCAGATCGCAGCCCCCCAGGGACGGCGAGGTCCCGCTCAGATCTGCGCGATGCCTCACCCCGCAGGACCCACCAGCAGCCTTCGAAAGCGGCGACAGTTTCGCAGATCGCAGCCCCCCAGGGACGGCGAGGCACCGCTCAGATTGGCGCGGTGCCTCACTCCGCAGGACCCGCCAGCAGCCCTCGAAGGTGGCGACCGTTTCGCAGATCGCAGCCCCCCAGGCACGGCGAGGTCCCGCTCAGATCTGCGCGGTGCCTCACCCCCCCCCAGAACCTTCCAGCAGCCCTCGAAGGCGGCCGCAGTTTCGCAGATCGTAGCCCCCCAGGGACGGCGAGGCCCCGCTCAGATCCGCGCGGTGCCGCACCCCCCAGGACCCACCAGCGGCCCTCGAAAGTGGCGACAGTTGCGCAGATCGCAGCCCCCCAGGGACGGCGAGGTCCTGCTCAGATCCGCGCGGTGCCTCACTCCGCGGGACCTTCCAGCAGCCATCGAAAGTGGCGACAGTTTCGCAGATCGCAGCCCCCGCAGCCCCCCGTGGACGTCGGAAACAGAGGGGGGGCGGGAGAAGGACGCGACCACGCCCCTCTATTCAAAACGAATACCCAACCAAGGAGGGTTGGGACACATCAGCAGTTTTCAAACATCCCTTAAACCAGATGTGACGAAGTGCACGCGCGCGTCGTCGGGCGCGCATGCCGAAATCTTTTTTATTTTTATTTTTTCTTATAAAAAAAGAAAAACGCGAATGTCGAAAGGATGCCGCAATGGAGTGCCGAACAAACACAACAACATGTGGTTTCGGAACAGGGATGTTCAAAAAAGTTTGTGCTCGCGCTCCTGCGTATTCTGGAGAAAACCATAAGTTTTCCCATTTCATAACATGCTACCACTATGGTTTCGCGCGCGAGCATGTCGACGTCGCGCGGACGCCCTGGCGCGCGTGCTTGCGCAATAATCCTCTGCAACGAATGGGGCGAAGTGCACGCGCGCGTCGCCGCGCGCGCATGCCGCAATCCGTCAAAAACCTTAGGTGTCATCACTGAGTGCCCCAAAACCATATAAAAAAACACATGTCTCAGCAACGATCGTTTTGAAAACAACCTGCGCTCGCGCTGGTGGGAATTCTTAAGTAGACCATATTTTCCAACATGTTCATTGAATGTTGTCTCTCGCGCCGCATGCCGAAATCATTCGAGCGCCCTTGCGCGCGCGCTGGGGGGGGGGGGGGCATCTGCGTGAACGAGACAATGCGGGCCACTCGCGCGTCGGCCGCGCGCGCATTTATCCTTCATCACCGACGCGAGGACGCCGTCATCGTAGTCGGCGTAATCAGCATCGGCGCCGTCAGTGGCCGTGTCGTCGCCACTGTTAGCATCGTTACAAGCACCGCTACTATCATCATCGCGTCTACCGTTCTCGACGTTGCCATGGTACCGCTCCCTCCAAAACCGTCATCGCCGACGCGGAGACGCCGTCATTGTCTTCGGCGTGATCAGCATCGGCGCCGTCATTGGCCTTGCCGTCGTCATCGCCACCTTCGTCACCATCGCTACTCTCATACTCGTGTCTACCGTTGTCCGCGTCGCCGCGATACCGCGCCAGCCCAAGTCACCGACTCGCACTGAAGTGCCCGCTGTGAGATACCACGCGGTCAGCGCCACCGCGGCCGCGTCGGTCGCGCCAAACTAGCCGGCCGCTGCGCGCGCGAGCATGCGCGGGTTAACGCGGCCGCAAGGATGCACCAGCCAACGCCAAGCACTCATCGCCATCGCCGCCGCGTGGGTTTTGCAAAACAAGTTGCGGGTGGGTGGGTGGGATGTTTTCAAGAGCATGGGAAGTCGTCAAGCGCGGCGCAAGGAGCAGCGGAGCCGGCGCTTCTTAGTTCGGCAGGGTGAATTGCACCACGTAGATTTTCTGGTCGAACAAGAATTCGCCTTTCCCCCTCCTCCGGATTTAACAGTGCAACTAAATATGACTTCGTATCATCCCACTTAAACCAGTATCGCCCCCCCCCGCCGAATCCGCCGCAGAAACTACGATGCGCGCGAATTCGTTGATCCCCAATCATAAAATGTCATGAATCCTCTGCAACGAGTAAGACGAAATTCACACGCGCGCGTCGTCGCGCGCGCGTCCCAGAAACCTGCAAGCACTTCGATGTCGCGGGGGCTGCAAATCCGTGTGTCCACAAAACATATAGAACACATGTTTCGCAACACGAATTTTCAAGAAAAGCTTGCGCGCGCATTCGTGCGAAATCTTGCGAAGCCCATCGGTGTTTCAAAATTTTCATAATATTATACCAAGCGGGTTTGGTGCGCGCGCAGGTCGAAATCGTTCGAGCTCTTAGGCGCTCGCGTTGTCGCAAGAACCCTTTGCAAATGGGGCGAAGTGCGCGCGCGCGTTCGCGTCGTCGCGCGCCCGAGCCAAATCCTTGCAAACAACCGTTGTTTGGTCAGGTTTTCAAAATCGAGTGTCAAAGCAAATGCTGCAAACACCGGGTTTGGCAACAAGGATTGCGAAGGCCTTGCGGCAGGGGCCCCCGACCCTGGAGGGGAACGACGACAGCGGCGGCGGCGGTGACGACGACGATGTTGACATGGGTCAGAGTCCTCATGGATGCTTCTTGGGGGCCTCTTGGGGGCCTCTTGGGGGTCTCTGGGGGCTTGCTGCGGGCCTCTTCGGGGCCTCTTGGGGCCTCTTGGGGGCCTCGAGGTCCTTCCTGGGAGCCTCTCGGGGCCGAGGGCTCGAAATGTCCGTTCTGGTCCCTCGTGTGGGCACCCTCTTGGAGCCGTCTTGGGGGCCTCCTGGGCCGTCTTGGAGGAGTTTGGGGCCGTTTTGGGACCCTCTAAGGCTGTTTTGGGCCCCTCCTGGGGCCCTCCTGGGCCGTCTTGGGGCGATACGGGGGGCCTCTTGGGCCGTCGTGGAGCGCCGGGAAGCGGAAGAGGCGAGAACGTCAAAATGCTTCAAAAACAACTAGGAAATAATTGTTCCTCTTGGGGCTTTCTGGGGAGAGTGTTCCTGGAGGCCTCTCGGGGCGTCTCGCAGGGCTCTTGGGCCGCCTGCCGCCCAGGCGGCCAAAGGCATCCAATGCGCCCTCAGACAGCCCAAAAAGGCTTCCAACAGGCCCAAGAGCGCCCCAAGATTGTCCAAAAGGACCCCGAAAGGACCCTGAGGAGGCCAACGACATTCATTTTAAATTGGTTTTTGTATGTTTCTGGACTCCCGCCTTCCCGGGCATCCGACGGCCCAGGACGGCTTGAGAGGCCCCGAAGATCTTCCCAAGAAGCCCCCGGGAGCCCCAGAGGGTCCCAAAACGGCCCAATAGGGCCCTTAGAGGCTCCCGAAGGAGCTTCAAGTGGGCCCCATGAGGCTCCCAAGAGGGTCCCAAGTGGCCCCATGGGAAGCTCCGAGACTGCCGAAGGCTTCCAAGACGCCCAGAGACGGCCCCAAAGGGCCCCAGGACGGCCCAAGCGGGCCCCAAGAGGGGAGGCATATGCGCGCGGGGCACGTAATTGCTTGAGCCCCTTGTGAGATGCTGCAGCCCCTTCAGAAGCAGCCCCTCCGCCGCTGCTGGGGCTCAAGCTTTCAGCAAGTATGCTTCCGAAGCAGTGCCCGGCCAGCTTGCTCGGGGCCGCGCTCACCCTTTGGGCGCCATTGGCCCTGGCGGCGGACGCTGAGGGCTGGCAGCGGACCGGGCCAGGCCACGAGCTGGAGGCCAGCTCGACAGCTACCACCACCACACTGCTGTCCACGACCTCGACGGTGGTGGACTGCAGCAGCCCGGCGCCTGTGGCGCCAGTGCCAGCCGCGCCGCAGCCGCTGCGGGTGGTCGGAGACGGGCTGACGGCCACGGTGGAGGTCCCGCTCACCGCGCTGGTTGGAGCCGCGGCCGCTGGCGCCTGCGGCGCCGCCTGGAGGCAGCTGACGCGGCGCTGCTCGGCGAGGGTCGCCCTCGAGCCGATCGGCGAGGCCAGGATCCACGTGGCGCAATGGCGGCGCCGCTGCCACATGCGGCCACTGGGCTGCTGATTTTGGTTCAGTACGAGGAAGATGCGGGCTGGGCTCACGAGAGGTTGCGGCTGTGGCCGAGCGCCGCCGACGGCTCGGAGTGGATGGTGTGGTGTGCGCGGCGGGAACCGACTTGCATGCAGAGGCCTGGACGGACTACCGGTCCGCAGTGACGTGGACGGGCGGGCAGGAGGCGTTCCCCCACCTGGCGTTCGGAACGTCGTCACGTTCAACAGGCCTCTGCTCGACGCCGAGTTGATCAGCCTCCTGAGGCGCGCTCGTGGCGAGGTCGTGCTGGAGCATGGCAGCGATGCCGCGGACTGGCGGACGCAGGACGCAGTTGATTGGAACGGTGGGCGGCTGGCCGTGCCTCACGCGACGGCGGTGGAGGTGCCATGAGTGCGGCGGCGGTTGCGGCGCAAGCACTCGGCGGCCCAGACCGAGCCCGCCGCCTTGCCGCTCGCCGACGGCGGGGTGCCGCCGCCTCTGCCGCCTGAGTCGCGGCCCCCCGGGTGCTGGGTGCTGGCGTCGATGGGCGCTGGCGACGCGTTCGGGCGCGAGCTCGAGCTGAGTGCCGCTGCGATCCTTCGAGAGCGACGCGGGCTCGACCGAGGCGCCGATGGTGAGTAGGTTCCGATCGAGTACGTCACGACAGGAGATCGAGAGCTGGCGCGACGCCGAGATCGCGGCGGCCGATCGGCCAGGCTGGACGATCGCCCCTTCCGCGCTGGTGAGGTTGGGGGCACTCGCGCGCCGCCCGCGGAGCCTGCTGGGACAGGCGCCGCAGCTGCTGACAGTGCTGGACAGGACGACCTCCGCACTTGTTGGATCGACGTGGACGTGACGGGAGCCCGTTTCAAAGAGTGGCGCCAGGTGGTGCAGGAGAGCACGCAGGAGGTCTTCTCGGACTCCAGCTTGCGCGGACCCCCTGCTCGCTTGGAGGTGCGCCGCAAGATGTACCGCCGCGGCGGCGCGCCGAAGATCTGGTTCCAGGAGTGGTGCAAGGAGGCAGGGATCTCTCGGCGAGACCGAGCATACCACGAGGTGCAAACATTCATAGAGTGTTTGTACCTCGCGGGCGCCTACGACCAGGTGAACATGGGGGCGCTCGCGTCTCTGGAGGTGGTCGCTCGCCGGCTGCTGCAATGCACGGGGGCCTACGCGCGTGGGGCGGCCCACGCCGACTGGGCTGCGGCGAAGCACCTGGCGGGGACTACCAACCCGCAGGACTTGGTGCTGGACGCGCTGCGGAGCTTCGCGAGCCGGTTCAGCAAGGAGGAGCGCGAGCTGGAGGCGCTTCGGGCGCGCGCCAAGGCCCCTGGAGGCCATTTCTTTATTGCTTGGGGCATTGCGGGCGTCATGGCCCCCGCTCCCCCCCCCCCCCCTATGACGCAACGCCCCCCCCCCCCCAGTGCGCTCCGGGCACTGCCGCCGTGCGCATTGGGATCCGCGTAGGTGTCCGCGTAGGAATCCGCATAGGTGTCTGCTCCGCAAGCGTCGTCGTCGTCGTCGTCGTCGTCGTCGTCGTCGTCGTCGTCGTCGTCGTCGTCGTTCGTCGTCGTCGCTCGTGGTTCGTCGCTCGTCGCTCATCGTCGTCGCGCGCGCGGACGCGGCTGGAGCCTGTTTTTATGTCCGGGCCGATGACGGCAATCATCTGGGGGGGAGGGGGTCGATGACGTCACGTTTCGCGCCGGCGGCGTTTGGGAATGGCTAGGAATGACGGAGGACGGGTAGCACGAACATGTAGGTGGCGATATGCACCACAATGCCTGTGTACATCACAGTGCCCACGTGCACCACAGCGCTTGTGTGCACCACACCGCCGATGTACACCACAGCAGCCGCGTGCAACACAGCGTCAGTTTGTGCCACCGTGCTTGCGGGCACAGCAGCTCCTGTGTACACCACAGCGCCTCCGTACACCACATCAGCCGTGCGCAACACAGCACCAGTGTACACCACAATGCCTGCGTGAATTGCAGTGCCTGTGTACGCCACGGCGCCTGTGTGCACCACATCAGCCGCATGCAACACAGCACCATTGTAGTGTATAGAATTTCAGAAGGAATCCTTGTGACAAAGTGGAACGCGTGTGGATTCCAGAAAAAACAATGGAAAACAAATCCTCATGGACAAAGGAGCGCCGCTGGAATCTACGAGTCCCGCCGAGTCCGCCCGCATCACCCTGACTCCCATTTGCGTCCAGGAGGCTCCAGCTAAACGGGCCGTCCGAGAACCAAGTGGGCCGATTCAATCGACCATTCTGCGGTGCACGCTGAGATGCGCACGTGCGGTGTAACGCCAAACCGCACGACAGGGGGTAAGAAGGAGGAAAAGGAAGACGAGGAGGAGGGGGAGGAGAAGGAGGCGGAGGAGGAGGTGGAGGAGGAAGGAGGGGAAAAACGTCGCATTCGATTATCCGAATTTTCCTGGCGTGGCGTTTAGTTGTCCGCCTCAGATCCTGACGTACGTGTTCCTTCTACTTGTCCTATGCACGCAGGCATTGTGGTGTACACCAGCGCTGCGTTGCACGCGGATGTTGCGGTGTAGACAGGCGTTGTGGCGTGCACAAGCGTTGCGGCGCACGCAAGCATTGTGGTGTACACAGGCGTTGAGTTGCACATGGCTGCTGCGGTGTATGTACACCGGCGCTGTAGTGCTCCCAAGTATTGTGACATGCGCGGGCGGTGCGTTGCACACGGTTGTTGCGGTGTACGCAGGCGCTGTGGTGCACGCGCGCGGCGTGGTGCACGCGAGCGTTGTGGTGCACACAGGCGCAAAGGGCAGATCGCCACTTACATGCTGCTCGCGTCGTCGTCGTCGCTCGTCGCTCGTCGCTCGTCGCGTCGCGCGCGCGGGCGCGGCTGTGGTGCCGGAGCCACACGGCGGGGGGGGGGCGTCACGTCATGCCCCCCCCCCCCATGACGCCCGTCATCGCCGAACATAAAAAACGCCTTCGTAGTAACTACCGTATAGCATGGCGCAGCCCCGACGAACGCCCACGAACTACTAGTTCGTGGGCATTCGTGGAGGACGGATTTCGCGAAGAGAAGGAGGAGGAAACGTAGGAGGAGAAGGAGGATTAGGTTAGGCACGCCACTAGACTCGCCACCCCGCGCTGACACCGAGGCCCCAGCGCGACATGGCGAGCCCGTGGTTTATCCATCAGTCTCTTCCACCGCCGCCCGCTGGCCCATTTCCCAGCGGGGGCCCACTCCCAGGTGCCAAGGTCGCGGGCACTCTGGGGTTCACGCTCGGCGAGCGGGCGGCGGCGGCAGCGACAGGCGCACAGGGCTGCGCCTGTGTCACGCCGCTGGCGGGCGACGGGCCTGGAGCCTCGTCGTCCTCATCGTAGAGCTCCAGCTCGATGTAGTCGGCGGGCTGTACCAATGCCAACCTACTCGAACTCGAAGCAAACCTCCTGCGGCCTAACCCCTCGCCGCGCTGGGGAATTTCGTGGCCTAATCCCTCGCCACGCTGGGGCAGGAAGCGGTCTAACCCCTCCCCGCGCTGGGGTCGGTGGCTTAACCCCTCGCCACGCAGGGGAATGCTGCTGCGGTCTAACCCCTCACCGCGCTGGGGGTCACCTTGCCCTGCACTCCCGCCGTGCTGGGGTCGGGTGCGGCTAGTCGGTGCCCGTGGCAACGTGCTCGAGCTCGCTGCCGCACCACTGCTGCGGCCTAACCCCTCGCCGCGCTGGGGAGTAGAGTGGCCTAACTCCTCGCCACGCTGGGGAACTGTGCGGCCTACTCCCTTGCCGCGCTGGGGCCTGTGGCCTAACCCCTTGCCCAGCTGGGGACTGCTGCTGCGGTCTAACCCCTCACCGCGCGGGGGAAAGCCGAGTCTCGCACTGTTGCCATGCTTGATGCTGCTGCCTTCTAGCTCGGGCGTGGTCTCCTGACAATGCCGCTCGCTGTGTTCGCGGTTCACGTGGTATCCGCGGGCCGAGCCCTCCCCCTCGCGTTCAGTCTGTCGGTTTCCCAGGGTATGGGTCCGCTCTGTTAGTTGCGAGGTCTTGTCTACCACCATGTTGGTCACGCAGTCCGCGTCATGCTCTCTGGGCTCGTCAGGGACCTGGCCTAACCCCTCGCCACGCTGGGGCAGGGAGCGGTCTAACCCCTCCCCGCGCTGGGGTCGGTGGCCTAACCCCTCGCCACGCTGGGGGTTGCTGCGGTCTAACCCCTCACCGCGCTGGGGATTGCTTTGCCCCGCACTGTCACTGTGCTGGGGTCGGGTACGGTCTAACCCCTCTCCGTGCTGGGGGACATAGTAGTCATACTCGTCATACAGCTCTAGCTCGATGTAGTCGCCAGTCGGTGCCCGTGGCGACCTGCTCGAGCTCGCTGCCAATCCATAGCTGCGGCCTAACCCCTCGCCGCGCTGGGGGAGAAAGTGGCCTAACTCCTCGCCGCGCTGGGGATCACTGCTGCTGCGGTCTAACCCTTCACCGCGCGGGGGAACGCCGAGTCTCGCACTGTCCCCATCCTCGATGTTATTGCCCACTGGCTCGGGCGAGGTCCCCCGACTATGCCTCTCGCTGTGTTCGCGGTTCACGTGGTATCCGCGGGCCAAGCCCTCCCCCTCGCGTTCAGCTTGTCGGTTTCCCAGGGTGTGGGTCCGCTCTGTTAGTTGCGAGGTCCTGTCTACCACGCTGTTGGTCAAAAAGTCCGCGTCATGCTCACTGGGCTCGTCAGGGACCTCCGCCTCGAGCCTCTGCTTGCCTTTGGCACTGCGGTCTAACCCCTCACCGCGCAGGGGACTGCCGTGGCCTACCCCCTCGCCACGCAGGGGTTCCACGCGGTCTAACCCCTCACCGCGCTGGGGAAAGTCGCCGACAAACTTCTCCAGGCCCCGCTGCAGGTCTGGGTCGTCGTAGTCTGCCGTCGTCTCTGGCTGCGCAGTGGGCTGACCCTCACTTGCGCGGTCTGCTGGATGTTCTGCTGGTGGTGTGTAGCTCGCTGCTGGCCGACGCTTCACTGTTCTTCTCGGTCGAGGCTCTGGGTGTGGTTCAGGTGGGGGGGTTCATCAGCAGCAAGGGGACTTGCGCCTCATGCGGGGCCAAGCGCTCCTGGTCCTGCAGCTCCCTCACCGTCCGTGCCAACTCCGCCTCTTGTGCCGCCTTCGGTGGTCGTTTGTAGCCAGGGTATCGCCCATCGCGTATCCTGTTGAGCGCGTCCTGCCCGTACTTGGTGATCGTCTCGTCACACGGCTCTCTCAACCTCTTTCCGATGGTCGTGCCATACGCCGCACACCGTGCACAGAACAGCAGCCCATACCGCGCCCATTCACTGATCGCATGGCTCTGGTGTATCTTGCCATTGCCCATGAACCTGTCGCCCTTGACCTCCACGATCTCGTTCGCCGTGCTGAACGTTGCATTGCACTCCGTCGTCGCGAACTCTTGCAGGGCGTCCGCTTCGATATACTGCCTGCACGCTGTACAAAACCACTTGTTCTTGAGCTTGACCATGTCGTGTTGCTTGGCACTGCTGATGATCTCTTGCTGCTTGTCGCGCTTTACCTTGGGCTTGGCCGTGGAGGGCCTCTCTGCACACCAGGGATCCATGCTAGCTGTGTCCGCCAACGCCTGCCGTGCTCGTAGTCTAACGTGTGCACAGATCGCGTCCCATTCGTCCGTGCGAGGTAGGGGCCTGCTGACTCTGTCCCAAGATGCCTCCGCTGCCACCGTCGCCAGAGCGTCTGCGAAGCTATTGCCCATCGCAAAGATCGGATTGATCAGCTCCACCTCCTCCTCGTCCTGATGTGAGGGTGTCCACTCCACTTCGATCTGCCTGGGGTTCGTGTCCATGATCGCCCGCTTGATTCGTGCCCAAATGTTGCATTCTTACCTCTACCTGGGTCGTGTGCTCTGCCTATTGACCACGCGTTAAGTAGTGGGTAATGGTCCGTGACGTACACGATGTCTCCTCGGGTTTCCTCTATCGCAATCGCGAAGGCCATCAGCTCAGCTCTCGGTACTGTTTGCCGCCGTCCTGGTAAATCTGCCATCGTACCTGCTGACATCTGCCACTTGCCATCGATCATCTTCATAGCAGCCACACCTATGCCAACTCGCCGCCTGCGTGGGTCTGCTCCGTGGGCGCCCCCTGTTCCGTCGCCGAAGAGATACAGACGCCGTCCTGGCACTCGAGCGTCCTCGTAATTGCCGAACCTGACGTAGTCCTGCCTATCTATGTCGGGCACCTCTGGATGTGTGAACTCTCTTGGCGGGATCCCACGCAGCCAAAGGGTGGGTTCGCCTCCACTCCTGCCATTGCTTTGGGCACCAAGTAGTCCGTTTTCTCGTAGTTCTCGTGTCCAAGTGTTGCCAGCACAAGTGTAGATGCGGTGGAAGAGGGTCTCGGGCTCCTGTTTGCACCTCGCGCAGATATTTGTGTCGCATTCGTAGTTGGCTTGGATCTGTCTTTGCCGAGTCCATTGTCCCCCTGTTACCACCACGTTGTTGAGCGCCCAGTCCTGCCACTCTGCACGCTGGCTGAACCTTTTCTGTTCCTTGCTGATATGCCAAATATCTCCTCCTCGTTGTAAATCTTCGCCGTGCAAATGTGTTGTTGCTTGTGCCCACCGTGCCGCGTCAAGATCGTGCTCGAGGTCTTCAAGCAATTGAGTGTATTCTATGGCATCGATGTCGCACTTGCCGTCTTCGTCGATGAAAGGAAGCTGCCATTGTTCGTCTCCTTGCTGCGTAGGTCGCTTCCAGAGCGCCGCCTGCTCTGGCTTCCACCCTGCCGCGATCAAAGTAGCTTGTATTGCCGCCACAGGTCCATTCACCTTACGCCACATCTTTGAACCTGCTCTGACCAGCTTGCGGTACGTTGGGCCCCATACTTGCCGCACTCGTCTGTGAAGTTCAGGGTGGTGCATCCATTGATGTAGCCATTCGCTGACAAGCTGCCTCAGAAATTGGCATTTGATGTGTGCGCAGGGGGTACGCGAAAAAGGTACGGTAGGTTCGCGTCGTGTCGACCAGTGGCGACCCTGCCGCTGGCGTTCCACGTTGAACGCCGCCAGCGACCCAGCATCGGCCGATGTTGCACGATATGACGCTTCGGAAAGGGCCGATCGTTCAAGCTTGAGCGACCCCCGCTGAGTCAGGACCCGACGCCGAAGTCGGCACGACACGAACTCGCCGTACAACAGGTGGGCGGCTCGAACATATAGAGACGACCATTTTTTATTCAAGAGGCTTACAGTGGAAACCAATGCCAAGAGACACCCTGCTTGCCTCCAGGGTGCCCTGGGTTTCTTGGGTTTGGATGGTTTTGCAATGGAAAGCCGTGACGCCCCCACACAAAAAAACAATGGACGTCCCGGGGTCTCAGGGCGTTGGGTTTCTTGTGGAAGGTTTTTCTTTTGGACGAGCTCCTGCTGTGCGCCATTCTCCTCGCAGCCAAAAATGCTCAAACGCTATTTTTTGCTCCTCCCCACTGCCCAACGAAACCAGCGCCAGGGCCACTCCCTTCCTCGGCGGCCTCGGGCGCATTATGTGGCAAGCGCTGCGTGAGCCGCTCCTAGGCTGCGTTTTTGTCACAGCCGCCGCCATCGGCCTCTCGGGCGCATAGGGGCCACATGCGAACACTACCCCTCCCCTCAAAGATCGTGGGGGGTGGGGGTAGGGTTCGCATGTGGCCCCCTACAGGCGCCACCCGCTCGTCGCTGGGCCTCGCCGGGACGGCGCCCTCAGCGCCAGAGGACCGGGCCGAGGTCCACGCGGAGGCCTGTGGCGCGGGCGGCGCCGCGGGCGCCCGTGCCGCGGGGCCCAGCGGGCCCGGGGCCCCGCCCGAGCGGCGCCGTGGCGAGCGGGGCGGGCATTGCTGGGCACTCTGGGTGCGGGGCGAGAACCAGTCCAGGCAGGTCGTGGACACCAGGGGCAGCACCGCGGTGGGCCCCTGGGCCACCGACGCTGCTGGCGCGGAGGTCCCGGCCCGGATGCTCTGCGCGGAGGAGCTCACGCGGCGCGCCCTGCTGTCCCCGGACTGCGCGGAGAGGGCTTGCGCGTGCACCCAGCTGGGTCGCACCAGTTGCTTGTGTAGTGCGGTCATGGGCGCGTCGCGGGCGCGGCTCGTGCTGAAGCACGCAGAGTGGCTCGCCGACCACGGCCACGCCAGGGGCGCGGAGGTCCGCTTCCAGGAGGCCAGCCGTGAGGCGGCGGAGCACGGCCAGGCGTCGGTCGACGAAATCTATACATAGTCACTGGTTCCTGGCCAGGCCCATTCTGAACCCATGAGCTGTGTATGCGCCCTCCTGGCCAAGCCAGGAGGGCGTGGCGTACACAACGCTGCTGTTCAAGATGGGCCTTGCCAGGGAGCAGTTGTTATGTATAGATTTCGTCGCCCTCAGGCGGCGCTCGCACAAAGAGCCTCTGCGCGGTTGGGGCACCTCCTCTCGAGGCGGGGCCGCTTCGCGGAGGCGCTCGAGGCCCTCCTCGAGGCCCAGCGGTTCGGAGACCTCGCCCTGGAGGAGGAGCGCGACCCGGCCACGCCGTGGTTGCTCGGGGTGGCTTGGTTGCAGGCAGCAAGATGCGGCGCGGCGAAGTGGCAGGAATCGAAGAAGAACAGACTGCATAAAAAGAAACTCTTGGGCGCTCCGCGCGGATTTCTTGCATTCGCGCTGGGCCCCCCTAGCGGTGCCTCCGGCGCTGCCCCTGGCGCGCTCCGCGCGCCAGTGAGGGGTGCCAAGCGCAGATCCAAGAAATCCGCGCGGAGCGCTCAAAAGAGTATGTTGATGCCGCTGTGTTTTCTTATAAGGAAGCGGAAGAGTGGATCCTTAGTTTGGGCCCGCTCGCGGCGGACGGGCTCGATGCGCAGCGCCAGAGGCTCCAGACGGACATCCGCTTTTGGCGGGCCGCGGAGCTGTCCCCGAGGCGCTGCGTAGACGCCGGCGATGTCGCGCACGCGCTGATCTGCTTCGGGAGCCATTTGTTCTACGCCGTGACGCGATAGTGGCAGAGGAGGGGGAGCTGGGAGTGTTGGACGGAGGGGCAGGGACGCTCAATATCCAGCACAGCGCTGCTCCAGACCAACAGGAGTGTCGAGACAGGATCCGCTGGCCGCGTGCATTTGTAGTTTCATATGAGGGGGCCCTCGCGTACATGTACCGGGATTCTTTCGAATTTGTTTCGCAAATATTCTTGGGAATCTTCTTCAAATTAATCCGTAAGGGCTTCGCCCCCTGCCGCCGGCCCCCTCTCTCGGAGAATGGGCCATGGAAGAGCTAAGTCATGAGGCCTTGGCGCTGCCGTGAAGCAGTATCGAAACTTCATGCGAAGCCGAGTCGCAATCAGCAGAACCAACTGATCACAAGAGGGGTTACCACACCTGGCGATTGGTAAGACGTGTATGGTTTAAGGGCTTGGTTACCACACCTTGCGATTAAAGGGCCGAGGGAGTTCTCGCAGTTTGGGTTACCACGCCTTGCGATGGATGTGCGTGATGGGTTCGAATTTCAGAAATGTGGCAAATCCCCTGTGTTTTTGGACCCTGACCCCGCGGATCTGCGTGAGGGGTGGCACCGAATTTCAGAAATGTGGCAAATCCCATGTGTTTTTGGACCCTGACCCCGCGGATCTGCGTGAGGGGTGGCACCGAATTTCAGAAATGTGGCAAATCCCTGTGTTTTTGGACCCTGACCCCGCGGATCTGCGTGAGGGGTGGCACCGAATTTCAGAAATGTGGCAAATCCCCTGTGTTTTTGGACCCTGACCCCGCGGATCTGCGTGAGGGGTGGCACCGAATTTCAGAAATGTGGCAAATCCCATGTGTTTTTGGACCCTGACCCCGCGGATCTGCGTGAGGGGTGGCACCGAATTTCAGAAATGTGGCAAATCCCTGTGTTTTTGGACCCTGACCCCGCGGATCTGCGTGAGGGGTGGCACCGAATTTCAGAAATGTGGCAAATCCCATGTGTTTTTTGGACCCTGACCCCGCGGATCTGCGTGAGGGGTGGCACCGAATTTCAGAAATGTGGCAAATCCCCTGTGTTTTTGGACCCTGACCCCGCGGATCTGCGTGAGGGGTGGCACCGAATTTCAGAAATGTGGCAAATCCCTGTGTTTTTGGACCCTGACCCCGCGGATCTGCGTGAGGGGTGGCACCGAATTTCAGAAATGTGGCAAATCCCCTGTGTTTTTGGACCCTGACCCCGCGGATCTGCGTGAGGGGTGGCACCGAATTTCAGAAATGTGGCAAATCCCATGTGTTTTTGGACCCTGACCCCGCGGATCTGCGTGAGGGGTGTCGATTTCGAGCCCCCCCAGCAATTCAGACAACGCGCCCAGGTGAGGCTAAAAGTCTTGTTTGGGCCTCCCCCCCCTCGCGCGGTCAATCAACTAGTTACAGTAACCAGCAAGAAGTCAACTAGTTACAGTAACCAGCAAGAAGCAGAACTGTAACACTGGAAACTAGAAACTACAACTGGTACAGGAAACTGCGAATCACGCGCCTCGCAGCCTGGTGGCCCCACAAGGGGGCCGGCGGATATCCGACCCTCCATCCCTCCAAATTCCGCCGCGCGCGCCCGGAATAATGATAATTTCAAATTGCGGCAGTACCCCCAAATTGGAGGCATACCCCCTGGAGTTGCCCAGGACCCCCCAGGAATCCCAGGGGCCCTGACGGATTCTGAGGGATTCTGTTGGTTTTTGGAGCCCCATCCTGGAGTATTCCTTCCTGGACGCCCTCTTGGAGCCATTTCGGGCCGTTTTGGGAAGCCGCTTGGGACGTCTCGAGGTCAGCCTAGGTCGTCTTGCGTCTTGGGCCGTCTTGAATCGGTCTTGGGCAATCTTTGCGGCCCTGGTGGCCTGTTTGGGCCAGGTGGCAGTCATCTTGGATTCCTCGGAGGGCGCCAGGGGCATGTCTCGGCGCCGCATCTTGGACACCATCTGGTATCTGGAATCCAGATGACTGCCACCTTGGATTCCTCGGAGGGTGCCGGGCCATGTCTCGGACATGGCCCGGCACCGTTCGGCGCCGCATGTCCGTACATGTCTCGGTGGCAGTCATCTTGGATTCCTCGCAGGTCGCCGTATGGAAAACGTATTGAGTGGCAATGCATCTCCTCATGTTGAGGCCCAGAATGCAAGTGAAACGATTGGTTTTCTCAACAAGTTTTCTGGTGACCCCCCCCTTCGTGGGTCACCTGGTGTGCTTGCGCCGTATGGAAAACGCATTGAGCGGCAGTGCATCGCCACATGACGAGGCCCAGGATGCAGGTGAAACAACTTGTTTTTCTCAACCAGTTTTCTGGTGACCCACCCCTTCGTGGGTCACCTGGTGTGCTTGCGCCGTATGGAAAACGTATTGAGTGGCAATGCATCGCCTCATGTTGAGGCCCAGAATGCAAGTGAAACAATTGCTTTTTCTCAACAAGTTTTCTGGTGACCCACCCCTTCGTGGGTCACCTGGTGTGCTTGCGCCGTATGGAAAACGTATTGAGTGGCAATGCATCGCCTCATGTTGAGGCCCAGAATGCAAGTGAAACAATTGGTTGTTCTCCACCAGTTTTCTGGTGACCCACCCCTTCGTGGGTCACCTGGTGTGCTTGCGCCGTATGGAAAACGCATTGAGTGGCAGTGCGCCGCCTCATTTTGAGTCCCAGAATGCAAGTGAAACGATGGGTTTTTCTCAACCAGTTGTCTGGTGACCCATCCCTTCGTGGGTCACCTGGTGTGCTTGCGCCGTATGGAAAACGTATTGAGTGGCAGTGCATCGCCTCATGACGAGGCCCAGGATGCAGGTGAAACGATTGGTTTTTCTCAACCAGTTTTTTTGTTGACCCACCCCTTCGTGGGTCACCTGGTGTGCTTGCGCCGTATCGAAAAAGCATTGAGTGGCAGTGCGTCGCTTCATGTTGAGGCCCAGAATGCAAGTGAAACAGTTGGTTTTTCTCAATCAGTTTTCTGGTGACCCACCCCTTCGTGGGTCACCTGGTGTGCTTGCGCCGCATGGAAAGCGCATTGAGTGGCAATGCGTCGCCTCATGTTGAGGCCCAGAACGCAAGTGCAACAATAGGTTTTTCTCAACCAGTTCTCTCGTGACCCATTTTTCGTGGGTCACCTGGTGTGCTTGCGCCGTATGGAAAACGTATTGAGTGGCAATGCCTCGCCTCATGTTGAGGCCCAGAATGCAAGTGAAACAATTGGTTGTTCTCCACCAGTTTTCTGGTGACCCACCCCTTCGTGGGTCACCTGGTGTGCTTGCGCCGTATGGAAAACGCATTGAGTGGCAGTGCGCCGCCTCATGTTGAGGCTCAGAATGCAAGTGGAACATTTTGTTTTTCTCAACAAGTTTTCTGGTGACCCACCCCTTCGTGGGTCACCTGGTGCGCGTGCGCCGCATGGAAAACGTATTGAGTGGCAATGCCTCGCTTCATGTTGAAACCCAGAATGCAAGCAGTTTTTTGGTGACCCACCCCTTCGTGGGTCACCTGGTGTGCTTTCGCCGTATGGCAAACATATTGAGTAGCAGTGCGTCGCCTCATGACGAGGCCCACGATGCAGGGGAAACAGCTTGTTTTCTCAACCAGCTTTCTGGTGACCCACCCCTTCGTGGGTCACCTGGTGTGCTTGCGCCGTATGGAAACCGTATTGCGTGGCAGTGCATCGCCTCATGTTGAGGCCCAGAATGCAAGTGAAACAATTGGTTTTTCTCAATCAGTTTTCTGGTGACCCACCCCTTCGTGGGTCACCTGGTGTGCTTGCGCCGTATGGAAAACGTATTGAGTGGCAACGCGCCGCTTCATGTTGAGGCCCAGAATGCAAGTGAAACAATTGGTTTTTCTCAACCAGTTCTCTCGTGACCCACCCCTTCGTGGGTTACCTGGTGTGCTTGCGCCGTATGGAAAACGTATTGAGTGGCAATGCATCGCCTCATGACGAGGCCCAGGATGCAGGTGAAACAATTTGTTGTTCTCAACCAGTTGTCTGGTGACCCACCCTTTCGTGGGTCACCTGGTGTGCTTGCGCTGTATGGGAAACGTATTGGGTGCCAGTGCGTCGCCTCATGTTGACGCCCAAAACGCAAGTGAAACAATTGGTTTTTGAGAGCTGGCGCAGCGCGCCCCTGGAAACAAGTGCTGACGCTCTGACGCTTTTGACGCTCCTGACGCTCTGGACGTTTTTGACGCTCCTGACGCTCCAGGCGTCAGGGGCGTCAGAGCGTCAGGAGCGTCAGGAGCGTCAGGAGCGTCAGGAGCGTCAGGGGCGTCAGAGCGTCAGCAGCGTCAGGAACGTCAAAAGCGTCAAAAGCGTCAGAGCGTCAGGGGACATCAGGGAGCGTCGGGGGCGTCAGGAGCGTCAGGAGCGTCAGGAGCGTCAGGAGCGTCAGGAGCGCCAGGAGCGTCAGGAGCGTCAGGAGCGTCGGGAGCGCCAGGAGCGTCAGGGACGTCCACAACTCCGGCGCCGCCGCTCGAGACATCCTCACAACTCCAGCGCCGCCGCTCGAAACACCCTCACAACTCCGGCGCCGCCGCTCGAAACATCTTCACAAGTCGGGCGAAACCGCTCGAGACATCCTCACAACTCCGGCGCCGCCGCTCGAGACGTCCTCACGACTCCAGCGCCGCCGCTCGAGATCTGGCGCAGGCGCGTCAGGGGCGTCAGGAACGCCAGGGGCGTCAGGAGCGTCGGGGGCGTCAGGAGCGTCCACAACTCCGGCGCCGCTGCTTGAGACATCCTCGCAACTCCAGCGCCGCCGCTCGAGGCATCTTCACAACTCCACTTCAGGCCTCAGGCTCCGGGGGCCGCTTTCGGGCCCTAGGGCTTTCGAAAACGGATCCAGGATCATCCGCGGTTCTGGGCGTTCCCATGGAATGATTCTGCGGCCGCGGCGGACCGGGCAAAAGAAGATGCGATGGAGGTTCGTGGAGGCGTAGGGGTATCATGAGGAGCAGGAGGGGGAAGAGGAGGAAACCGCCTGTGGGATTCGTCGCCGTTTGAGAAAAGAAACATCAAAATCCAAACCGAAAGGATCCAGCACGCCAGGCACCCCTGTGATGAAGAAACAACAGGAGGTGGCGGATCTAGCGGCCTTCGGACCAACCCACCACCGTGCCTAGGCTATGGGCCCGGAGCCTCGTCGATGCATCTGTGGTTTTCCTGGGATGCCTCTCAGGGACCTGTTCGAAGTCTGTTCGGGGCATCTCACCCTCATCCTCATCGTCACTGTCGTCAGCATCATCATTCGTCCTCGTCGTCCTCGCCCTCATCATCGTCCTCGTCCTCGTCCTCGTCCTCGTCCTGGTTCTTCTGATTCGCCTTTTCAACCTGATCGTCATCATGACCTGCATTCTCCGCGTCCTCCGCATCCTCCTTGCCCTCATCATCCTCTTCATCGTTTTCTTTATCTTAATCCACATCCGCATCCCCGTCCTCACCCTTCTCATCGTCCTCACCCGTCACTACCCTCCACCTTCGTCGTCCTCGCCCTTTTCAATGTCTTGGGACGTCCACAACTCCGGCGCCGCCGCTCGAGACATCCTCATAACTCCAGCGCCGCCGCTCGAGACATCCTCACAATTCCGGCGCCGCCGCTCGAAACATCCTCACAAATCGGGCGCCGCCGCTCGAGACATCCTCACAACTCCAGCGCCGCCGCTCGAGATCTGGCGCAGGCGCGTCAAGAGCGTCGGGAGCGTCAGGAGCGTCCACAACTCTGGCGCCGCTGCTCGAAACATCCTCGCAACTCTGGCGCCGCCGCTCGAGGCATCCTCACAACTCCACTTCAGGCCTCAGGAGCCTAGCCTGTTCAACTTGATCGTCATCATGACCTGCATTCTCCGCGTACTGAGATTTAGCTGTTGTCCGATGTTTTCATGTGTGAGCCGCGCAGGCTCATCTACTGTAGCACGCCTCTCGGGATTTGCGAGCCTCCGCATCTCTCATTCCCTGTCGTCTTACTCATACTGCTCCTCCCCCTCCTTGTCTCCCACTCGTTCACTCTCCATAGATTCCTCCCCTTCCTTCTGTGATGTCTGCGTCTCCGCGTATTGAGACTTCGCTGTTGTCCGATGTTTTCATGTGTGAGTCGCGCAAGCTTATATACTGTAGCACGCCTCTCGGGAGTTGCGAGCCTCCGCATCTCTCATTCCCTGTCGTCTTACTCATACTGATCCTCCCCCTCCTTGTCTCCCACTCGTTCATTGTCCATAGATTTCTCCCTTTCCTTCTGCGATGCCTGCGCACCCCTTTCCTTTTCGAAGCGGTGGCTCAAGATGAAGCGCCTTCGGTGTGAGGGCCCAGGTTGTCCTCGGTGCATTACCTGCCGTGCCGAGGACGGACCGCCCGCATGTACACATCACGGCGGCGTTTCACACCGCGGCCGGTGGGACCGCCAGGCTGCGTCTTCGTCGGCGCCGGAACTTCCCCCCCAGGCGCCTTCGCCAGAACCAGCAGGTGCGCCAGCCAGCGTGGAAGCCGCGTCGGATTCGGATTGCTCTGATGTGGAAAGCGAACAAGACCAAGAGGAATATGAAGACACCTGGGAGCCTACCTCATGGACGGGCATCTCTTACCAAGGAAAGGACAGTGATAAATACTTGGTTGGATCGGACCTGCTGCCCCGGGACCTTGCAACGCATCTGACATGATCGCGGACCGCCTGGGCTTCGTCAGCACGCCTTTGTTCCGTGCTGCTACTTCTACTGCCTGCTAGTCGCGGATCAGCCGGACGCGTTGGTTCCAAGGGGGGCCCGGGATCGCGCGGAGCGGGGCCTTGAGCGCGCCCCGTTGCTGCGTTGATCTACCCACCTGCCCGCGGCGAACCCCGCCACCGTGCCTGTGCAACAGCGCAGCAGGCAGGATGCTCAGTGCAGGAACAGCGGTGTGATCTCGTGCTTGGCCTCTTTGGGGCCTCTGGGTGGGCAGTGCCGAGGCCTCTTGAGGCCTCCTGGGGGCATCTTGGGGGCCTCTTCCGTGCCTCTTGGGAGCTTCTTGGGGCTCCTTGGGGGCCTGTTGGGGCACCTGCTTGGCTTCTTTGGGGCCTCTGGAGGGCAGTGTCGAGGCCTCTTGAGGCCTCCAGGGGACATGTTGGGGGCTTCTTCGGTGCCTCTCGGGAGCCTCTCGGGGCCCCATTGGGGGCCCCTGGGGGCCTCTTGGGGGCATCTGGGGGGCCTCCTGGGGCAGGGGGCCTCTATGGGGTTTCTGGGGGCTCGAATTTTCGCCCTCGGAGGCCACGATCCTTGCGAGGGGGTAATTATCAAACAACGAGGGGGGCGATTTCTGGACCCGGCGCGCGCGCGCCGGGCGGGGGGCCGCCCTTAGCAAACATGTAGGAAAAACCTCCCAGAGGGACCAGAGGAGCATTCTAACACGCCCCAACGTGCCAAAGGCACGGTGGCGGATTGTGCGCCGCGCTCCGTTGTTGGGCAAGCAGCCTCGCCTGGGCGCGGCGCTCAGGTCTCGACGCATCTCCCGTTCGGCACCAGCCACTGATGCTCGCTTGGCTGCGTGGCTGGCGCGTGATTGCATGCTTCGACGCACGGGGCCCCCGGAGCCCTCGACGACGCGGTGCTGCGAGATCTCGCCGCCGCACATCGGCATCTCTCGGACGGAGTCGCGCCGGAGACGGTCGAGATGGTGGGAGGTTTCCTCCGCGCGGCGATCCTGAACAGGGTGAACATCACGTCGTCGGCGACTGGGTGGTTCGATGCGCGCGATGGCCGGCGACGCGCATATCCGACCAATACCTGCGTTCCAGTTGTGTGCAGATTCCGAATATTGGACCACCTCCTCCATGCCTTGCCCGGCCGTTTATCGCCCTGCCGCGGCATCGCGGGCCGGCTGGGCAGTTTGATAAGGATCGCGAAGCAGGCGCAGGCTGGCGAGGGCGACTCCCGCCTGGTCAAGCAGGCCTTTGCAGTGATGGAAGCGCTTATGCTCAGTTTGCTCACGTTGGATCTACTGCTCCGCCCCGCCGTGTCACCGTCGCTGCCATTTGCCTCCAGGGTGCATTGTCACCCGCCGAAGTTTATGCTCTCGGACATCTTCCTGTTGATTGCTTGCGCCGTGCGTAGCCGCGCGGGCAGGCCCGCCGGTGAAGGCGGCGACGGCGCGCGCGCACAGGGGCGCAGCCCGCCGGTGCGACGCCGTTGCCCGCAATGCACGGTTCTCTTCCGGATCCGGTGCGAGTGCATCTTTGTTGGGCCAGCCCCGAGAGCTTTCCTGACTGCAGCCCGGGGCATGCCCGACGGCCTTCCTTTGGCTGCGGAGACGGCGCTGCCGAAGCTCCTGCAGCTCAACCCGTGCATCAACGAATACTTCGGCAGCTCCTTCTGCTTGTATCGCGGTTGCCTACTGCGAACCACTCCGAGAGGGTTTCGGGCCGTCTTGGAGAATTCTCGGAGGCCTCTGGGCCTTTCGTGGACCATCCTGAGGCCATCGGCCGTCTTGGGTGTATATCGGGGCCGTCTTGGCTGGCTTGGCGGCGTTCCACCAGGGGGCGCCCTGGGGCGCCAAACACGTTTGCCCGTGGGCCCGTTGACTTCATCGAGGCTGAGCGCCGGCTCGTGCCCCGAGCACGGTGGCGGATATTCCACAGTGCTTGCCGTGCACATGGCGCTCGTTCCTGACATGCGCGCGGTCCAAATCCAAGGTGCCGCCAGAGGAGCTCGCGAACTGCGAATGGAGGCCCAGGTGCCGCGTGCTCGCGGAGGCCACGATGGCAGCTGAGTCTGCGCTGATGACCAACATGTTCGGTTGGCTGGAGCGGCGCGGCCTGTCTGGCGAGCGTGAGTCGCACGCGCCCCGCGCGCAGCGCCGCGTCCTCGTCGCCGTCGACTGGTCCAGCATCAGCGACCGAGCAGGTGCACTGCTCGGTCAGGGCCCAGCCACCACCGGTTTAGTTGTTTGGTTTCCCCCGCAGGGGCGAAGGGGCATGGCGCGAAGAGGAGCGCGGCCGCGCGCCCTGGCGGGCGCTCAGAGCGACAGCTCCAGCGGACTTCTGCCGCGACCACGCTGACCTAATCGGCTAGCTGAACGCGCCCCGCGGCCCGCCCGAGGAGCCGCGAGGCGCGCCTCCCGCGCCGGCGCTTGGAGAGCGCGGGCGCGACCTCCTGCGGACCGCCGTGGCTCAGTCTGCCGCGTCCTTCCAGGACGCGCTCGCGAAGGGCCCAGACAGCGCGCGCGATTTCCGCGGGCTCCTCTCTTCGCCGGGGGTTCTCCGCGCGAAAGGCGTTAGAATCACGAACTACTGAGTCTACTGGCTAGCAAACATGACAGTGAAGTCCAATAAACCAGTTAAAGGCCTGTCACGCTCGTACTATCCTGGAAGGGCGCATTCGGCGCGCAGCCGCCGCGCCCCGTGCTCGCTCGGGCTGCGCGTCGAGCAGGGTCTCAGCTCGACGCTGCGCCCGGGTGGCATCTCGCGGCCTTCGGCCCGCCCCGCCGCCGCCCTGGGTCGCGAGCGAGACCCTCCCAGAGCATTTCGGAAATGTTTCGGGGGCTTTCTCGGGGGCCTCTTAGCAGCATTCCGGGAGATGCAAGAAATCTCGCTAGAGCGATTGGCCACGCGCCACGTCGCGCCCCGGGGCGCGGCGGCGGATAATTACAGGAGCCGCGAGGCTTTTAAGCGGGAAAGTAAACGAATGCGACGCTGGTGCCATAGTCCCAGGCGCCTGGCGCGCCGCCGCCGCGGCATCCTGAGGGTCGGCCCAGCCTGTGCCCAGGAGGTGCGCGGCCAAAGATGCGTCTTTAATTCGAAGCTGCGGCGGCAGTACAGCCGCCTTCTCAAGTCGCGACGCTCGAGCGGCTTGCTCGCGCGGCAAGAGTGCGCCGAGGGCTTGCGGGCCGCCGGCATTGACCCTCGATCCGGCACCGTCCCAGTCGGACAGTCTTGGGCCATCACTGCTTCGCACTGGCCACCCGGAACTAAGACAGTAGGAGAGAAAGCTTTCAAGCTTTTTGTAGACTTGTCATTCCTGCGGTTCTTGTGCATGCACTTCCACTGTTCGGCGTTGCCCGCGTGGGTCGACGATGGCGTCGTGTATCTCCAGCAGAGCGAACGCGCCCGTCTCATGCTCGAGCCCGAGATAGCTCTGCGGCTGGAGCAAGAGTTGGCGGACACCGCTCGCCAGAGTTCGCAGTGGGCTGCAGGTTGGCGCAATGCCATTTTGAATAAGTGATTCGTTGCAGGGGCGACGGCGGCACTGCCCTACCTCCCGTGGTTCGGCCAGC